GGTTCCAGTGTCCCTGATGTTCTGTCAGCGGCAGACCAACGGTTCATCAGAGGAAAGACACTTTTTGTTGGTGTTGAATTGTAGGAGGGGTTGACAAGGACTTTGAGCATTCTAGTGGACACTGTCTGCAGGGGTTGATGTATAGTTATTTTCTTTTGACTGCAATGCATGTTAAATGCCTGATGGTCCATCATGGCTAGTGAAGGTACTTTCGCAGGGGCTGGCCGAGGACATTGCTTGCTGATTTGATGGGGAGTGGAGGTGGAGCAAAGTGGGGGATGTTAGCGGATCACTTGGTGCTCTTGTTCCCACACCTCCCAGCTCGCTTTTGAACACTGTGGCTTACCGGGCTGTTAGTCGTTCAGGATTCATGCATCCATTCACCACGCAGGTGGCGGGCACTGGGATGTCCCAGGTCGCTCTCATGCACCTAGATAGAGACAGGCAAATGCAGGTGCATGAGAATGCTTTTAACACTTCGTGGAAAATTTTGAAACCTCTGCAGTTTTTTTTTTTTTTTTAATAGCGTGTAAGCCTCTTGTATATGTGGATTCCCAAAAGCTTTGCACCAAAATAAACATATCTTTTAATCCTGTTTGTTTTTGCATGAACTTTTTGAAGTAATTTCATACATGGCAGGAAATACAATAACAGAGTTCTGTGTAAAGTGCCACTCAGGGACCAGCATTGTAGCACAGTGGGTTAAGCTGCTGTATGTAGCACCTGCATCCCGTGTGAGAGCTGATTCATGACCCAGTTGCTCCACTTCGAATTCAGTTCCCTGTAATATGCCCGGGAAAACAGTGGAAGATGGCTAGAGTGCTTGGGCCCCCGCTTACCCATGTTGGGGACCCAGGCTTCAGTCTGGCCCAGACCTCCTGTTGCAGGCATTTGGGGAATGACCCAGCAGATGGAAGAGCTCTTTGTCTCTCTGTCTTGTTCTCTCTCTTTGTAACTCTGCCTTTCGAATAAATAAAAAAAATACATCTTAAAAGATGCTACCAGGGATGGAAGATTAGACAAGAGAATGATAATTTCTCTGGAGGAGTATAGGGCCCAGGAAGGGCTGCATACACGGAGGAGGTGACGTCTGAGCTGAGTGTTGTAGACAGTGGAGGAGTGCTCTAAGTGACTGAGTGAAGTTGGCCCTCCAGGCAGAGGCAAGAGAGCAATTGCAGGACGGAGCAGCCTGCAGAGTGATGTTCCAGGGAGCCTGGGGGATGGAGACGACCAGCTGCCTTGAAGAATCACAGCAGCTCCAGGGGACAGATGTGATGAGGGGAGAAGGAAATGGCAATGCTGGATGACAGCATCCCCTGACTCCCGCAGGGGCAGACGCAGCGTGAGGTGTGCCTCCAGGAAGGGAGGCCAGCTCGGGGAAGCGCGGCAGGTGCAGGGGTGGGGGAGGTGCGGATGGTGAGCGGCTGCCTGGCACTGCTGTCCTGGCCGCGGGCTCTCCAGGGCCGTTCATTTCGTCTTCTGGAAGCCGGGGGTGGTAAGACCGCTGGGTTTGGGGACCCCGCGCTGCAGGTGTCACACAGGTGATGGCTTCATGTTTTGAGAAGATGATGCAGGCCCAGGTGTTGAAGTGGCGGATAGCTTTGGACTGAGACAGAATTTCTTAAGTGGCAGGAAGAGGAAGCCCCCCCCCCCCCCCCCCAGCCGCCGCCTTTCTCGTGAAGCCAGGTCTGTGTTGCTGTCTCAGGAAATCCAGCCTTTCCCTGGCCAGGCCAGATGCCCAGCCAGGTCCGGACGGAGAGGCTGGGGTGGGGACGGGGGGCTGCTGACTCTCAGCCTGGACTGCTGGCTGTGCATGTCCTCGCAGTGGAGTTCCAGCTTGGACACCTTTCACCCCTCCATCGCATACTCCCATATCGCATCTGCCCTGTACGATGAGCCCTGTTCTCAGCCATGGGGGTTGGGGGTGGCTCAGCCCCTGGTTACATACAGCCTGTCCCAGGGAGCCTTTGCTGCCCCATCCCACTGATGTCAGTGGACAGCTCTGTGCCCTTGGTCCTCTTGGGTGGAATTCCTGGGGCCATGTGTCTTTTCTTTTGGGGTGTGTGGAGGGAGGTCAGAGAGTGTCCTTTTCTTTTCTAAGATTTATTAGTATTTTAAAGGCAGAGTAGGGGTGGGGGATAGAGAGAGATCTTCCATCTCCTGGTTCACTTCCCAAATGGCTGCAATAGCTGGGGCTGGGCCAGGCAAAGCCAGCAGCCTGGGACTCCATCTGGGTCTCCCATGTGGGTGGCAGGGTCCTAAGGACTTGGGCCATCTTCCACTGCCCTTCCAGGAGCATTAGCAGGGAGCTGGATCAGGAGAAGAGTAGCTGGTACCTGAACTGGAGGTGCTCTTACGGGCTGCTGGCATCACAGGTGGTGGCTTATCCTGCTGTGCCACAGCACCAGCCCAGCCCAGGGGTGGTCCTCACCTTGCTCCCAGTAGGGCTCAGCAAACATTGAATGACGGTGCATCCATTCAGGAACACAGACAGGAGGGAGGGACCAGGGCCCAAAGCCCCTAGAACACACCAAGTAGGAAGAGATCCTTCTAAGAGGCCTCGTGGTGCCCAGCTAGGCAGCCGGAACTTCCTGGGTGAGCGTTGCTTCTGGTGAGTTTTGCTTCCCGCGAGCTTTGCTTCCTGTTCATTGGCAGTAGTTAGGAGACCAAGGCCAAGACCACGTCCCTGGTACGGGAGGTGGAGCCTGGAAGGTGGCCTTGCCCAGCAGCTCCCTGCGCTTTTCAGACTTCGCTCGAGCATCCGTCCTCACCGACATGTGAGACGTGCTCACAGCAGGATTGTTTTCTGCTCTGTCCTATTTACAGTTGATTTCTTAAAATGCTGAGGCCAGCGAATTGATTTCACTACCTACCTAGTCGTGGATCAGGATTCACACCCTGATGGCTGGAACGTATTAGGAGTCAGATAGGCCCAAGTTTGAATACTGGTTCTGGTACCTAGAAACTGTGTGGCCTTAGGCAAATCACTTCCCTTCTATAGTAAAAAGTCTCAGTTTCTAAATCTGTGAAATGGGTGACTGTGAAGATTAAATGAGTTAGAACAGGTAAAGTGCCCAGTAAGTGTGAGCTTTGGATGCAGTTGTGAAAATCGTAGTTGTCATTTTCCCTGTACCACTTGGTGAGACCAGCAGAGTGAAGGTGAGACCTGTGCCTCCTAGGAAATGGCTATCTGGAACGTCTTCCTGGAGGTGGTGGTGGCACTGAGGTAGGCTGACAGGAGGACCGGCACCTGCTCCTGGCTTCACAGTGACTGGGAACCCACTGTGAGCATTCCGGGGGCAAAAGGCACTCACACCCCTTCCGTGAAGGGCAGACCTGTTCCCGAGGGTCCCTGCCTGGCCCTGGCACTGAGCGCGGTGGATGCCTTTGCCTTTCACGTTTAGGTCCCTAATCCCCGGGGATTGATTTTCGTGCCTGGTGTAGAGATCCAATTTCTTTTTTCCCCCCGTTTCTGAATGGATAACCAGTTGCCCCGCACTGTTTATTAAAGAGTCCATCCTTTCCTGCTGATTTGTATGTCTGCTCACTCGTATATCAAGGTTTCATATGTGCGTGGGTCAGTTTCTGGACTCGAGGCTGTTGCATTGGCCTATTTATCTGTCCCTGTGCCAATACCACGCTGTCTTAATTACTGCTGCTTCCTAGTGATTCCTGATGTCGAGGAGCCCCCGTTCCACCCCCGCCCCTGCCCGCCCCCGTTCTTCTCCCTTGGAAGTCCCTGGACTTGTGCTGGGCCTGGACTCTGGTCTGCTGCAGTGTTGGAGGAGCCCAGGGCACTCTGGGCAAGCTGTTTCCATAGAGAATCCTCTCGGGATGCTTAGGACTCCCGCATTCGCGGCTGCCATCCCCCCACTCTCCACGGGAGCTGCCCCAGGAGTGCCTTCTGACCCCTCTGCAGAGAAAAACTCCAGGAGTGTGCCCGAGTTGTGGTCCCTTCTGCTTGCCTCTTGCCCCGTGGCTCGCTGCTCGTCCTCCTCTCCGGGCTGGCTGCAGCTCAGACAGCTTGCTTCCCTGCCTGCCAAGGACCGAGCCCTGGGCACACCGGGGTGTGCCCTCCATGGAGCTGCCCATGGCGAAGCTTGGCATGCACAACCAAGTTCTATGGCTTATGTGTTTCCAGATATTTCCCTTACCCTGGGGTTTGGGTGGGAGGGAGGGAACGCAGTGTGGCCTTGCCCGGGAAGAGTCAGGCTAGCATCTTCCTTGACTGTCCTGAGATGCTCACAGTGGCTTGGGTGGAAGCAGATGGCTCACTGCAAGCTTGGAGTTTATGAAACGGCTTGAGCCCGGAATATGAGTTGTCAGGAGCATGCGTGTGGTTGGCGTGGACCTGGTACATGAGAAGTCTGCCTCTTGCGGTCATCAGCACACAGGTGTCCCTGGGCCTCCAGAATTCAAAGGCACCTGCCAAGCTGTGGCTCAGTTGGTTTGATGCCTTGGTTTTAGGGGGAGAGTTTCTGGTGCCCACCCTGGGCTGGGTTCTTTCCTGTACACCGTGGGGCTCAGTTTGCTCATCTGTGAAATGAGGCCGTGGACTGGATGATCTCCCAGACTCCTCTCACCCTGGCTCCTGTGCTTTAAGAGCAAGGAAATCAGAGACCGCTCTTCCCTTCTCTTTGGCATGAAGGCTGTTGCATAGGGCACTGAGGCCTCACCCTGTACAGAGGGGGATGCTGTCTGGTGTCTGGGGCCGGGTGAGGGGAGCCTGCGGACCGTGAGAGAGCCGGGTGCGAATCCTCCTGAAGCCGCACTACATCCTGCCCACCTCCTCACCAGGGGGGCGTTGTCCATTCCGGACCAAAGTCTGTGTCAGGATGAACCTTCCCTTTCAATCTTGTGGGCTGCGTGAGCCCCCTGTGGGGGCCTTGGCCCAGGCCTGGCCTCACCCAGCTTAGTGGCTGGGCCCAGAACATGGTGGCAGCATCTGGCGAGCATGCTTCCAAGTCCTGGTGCTGAGATGTCCCTGTTTCCTCTTTCAGACCACTGAGTACTCAGCCATGGCCTCGCTGGCTGGAGGTCTGGACGACATGAAGGCCAACCTGACCAGCCCCACCCCTGCTGACCTCGGGAGCAGCGTGCCTGGCCCACAGTCCTACCCCATCGTGACAGGTGAGGGCCTGGGGGTGGGGCCTGCCTGGAGGTTGGAGAGCGAGGAGAATGCGTGCATGGTGGAAAGCGTGGCTTCCTGGGGGCTGTTGGTGTCACGGGCCATGTTTGCTTTAATGAGGTGATGAGGTCCTGGGACAGGTCCAGCAGAGACACAGAGCCGGGGCTGAGGCTATGATTGGCAGCTGGATATTGTTTCCATAGAGCAGATGACAGGGGCCATGGTCTGGGATGGGACAGGGCACCCCCTGTTGGAGGGGCCCCCTGTGGGTGGGGCTGGGTGTTCAGTGCTCTGGGATTTGTCCCTCGGGGCAGCCCAGGGCGGGGTGGGGAAGGGCAGCGGGACCTCTCACAGACTGCTGGGCCTCTCAGGTCCAGGCCGAAGCAAGGTCGGGAAGGAAGGGTTGGAGCCTCCAGCTGGAAGCTGCTTGGGGTCTGCAGAAAGAGGGACCTCTCCAGAAGGCCAGGGCTGGCGTCCTTAGCTGTCAGGGTCAAGAGGAAGAGTGTGGGCCCTGGAGGCCCACTGCTGGGCTTGCACCTGCCATTGGCTGGCTGCGCCATCTTGGGGCGGTCTTATGAGAATTTTGGACTGTAGTTTCTTAACCTGTGGAATAAGAAAAGTGATGGCACCTTCCACAGTGATGGCACTGTGGTGGGAATTAGTAGGCTTGTACCCACAAGGCGCGAAAACTCTTGCTTATTAGCACAACAGGAAGCACTCCGTAATCAGCCATTGCCATTCTTCTCAGAGTCCTCTCTTGGTGACTGGTCACCATTGGGCTCGCTGCTGCAGAGGGGTTGCACTGAGACCAGGACAGGCAGGACCGCCCCTGCCCCCACCCCGCCAACATACATGTTGGCTCCAGCAGCTCTGGGATCACAAGGAGCACTGGGACAGACTCCTGCCAGTTCCAGGAGCTTGGAATGTCACACTAATAGTGGCAGGCTGCTGGCCGCACTTGGACCAGATCCCTGGGGTGCCCTCTAGGCTGGTGGGCAAGACACAGCGTGCTGGCAGAGGCCAGAGGTTCATAACCAGGCAGGTGGGCTGTGCTTGCCTAAGGGGCGGGACTCAAGGTAGAGCTCAGGAGTGGGGGTGGATGGGACAGGATCTCAGTCCCAGGGTCAGCAGCCCCAGCTCTGAGACTGGGCTGACAGGTCAGCGCTAAGCTCTAGCTGAAGCAGCTGGAGCCCTGTTGGAAGATCTGGGCACCACGTGGGGGTCGGTCAGGTGGCAAGAATGCCAGGGTCCCTGTCCCCTATTGTGGCACAGCGGGTTAAGCTGCCACTTGTGGTGCCAGCATCCCAGGTAGGAGTGCCACTTTGAGTCCCAGGTACCCCACTTCTGATCCAGCTCCCTGCTCATGCTCTTTTTTTTTTTTTTTTGACAGGCAGAGTTAGTGTGAGAGAGAGACAGAGAGAAAGGTCTTCCTTCTGTTGGTTCACCCCCCAAATGGCCACTATGGCCAGCACGCTGTGCTGATCCGAAGCCAGGAGCCAGGTGCTTCCTCCTGGTCTCCCATGTGGGTGCAGGGCCCAAGGACTTGGGCCATCCTCCACTGCCTTCCCAGGCCACAGCAGAGAGCTGGACTGGAAGAGGAGCAACCGGGACTAGAACCTGGGGTGCCGGCGCCGCAGGTGGAGGGTTAGCCAAGTGAGCTGTGGTGCCGGCCTCCTGCTTATGCTCTTAGGAAGGCAGCAGAAGATGGTCCAAGTACTTGAGCCCCTACCACCCACGTGGGGGACTCGAATGGAGTTCCTGGCTCCTGACTGTTGCCTGGCCCAACATTTGGGGAGTGAACCAGTGGATGGAAGATGTGTGTGTATGTGTGTTTTCCTCTGTTCCTTTAAATAAATCTTAAAAAAAAAAAAAAAGGCAAAAAGCATAAAAACAAGAGTGACTTGGTCCCCTGTGTACCTGAGGTGGGCAGAGCCTGCAGAGCAGGGGGCTCACTTCAGGCAGGAACCCAAGGACTTGAGCTATCGCTGCTGCCTTCCAGGGTGTGCATTAGCAGGAAGCTGAGCCAGGGGCTGGGATGAGACAAGGGCACGTGCACTGGCATCTTAACCGCCAGGCTGAATGCCCGCCCCAGCCATGTGTGCGCTGGAGCAGAAGTCTGTGTTCTGTGTCCAACCCACGGCACGCAGTGAAGTACTTGTGGCTGTCCACATGCACAGTCTCACTGTGAACGCAGCAGGGCTGAATGCAGAGCTACGCAGGAGCGTGGGCCAGGGGCTCGGCCCCTCCCACCGGTGCCTGAGAAGTGACCAAGAGGGGAAGCACTCTTGGCAAAGCTCCAAGTAAAACAAAGTCCAAACCTCACTCGATTTACTCGGTAGTTGCATTCCTGGAAACTCAGTATGTATTAAGACCATGGGAACTTCGAGACTACATTTATATGTAAATGACATTCAGTCCTAAATTCAAACAATTATAAACAGATTTTTTGCCTACCTGAATATTTGGCCGGCATGAGAGAGGTGCAGGATGGGGGGCAATTCCTCCTCACGCGCGACTGTTCCCCTACAAGCCAGTACTGCCTCATGGTCATATAAAATACCCCCTGCCCAGTTGCTCTTCTTATTTCATAATTTGAGAGACAGAGATAGAAAGAGCTGCCGTCCACGGTTTACTGCCCAGGGCTGGGCTGGACAGAGGCTAGGAGCCGGGAACTCAATCCTGGCCTCCCATGTGATGTGTGTGGCAGGGACCCCACTGCTTGAGACATTGCTGCTGGCTTAGCAGGAAGCAGGAGTCGGGACTTGGGTGTGGGATACAGTGTCCTGAACAGCGAGACCACATGCCTGCCCCCACGTTTTCAAAACCCAACCCCACTGAGAGCCGTGAGAACCTCCTGAAGGTGGTCTCCTGGGAGCTTACGGGTGGGGTCCCATGTCCCCATGGGGCCTTCCTCTCCCTCCGGTGGTGTTGGTGGCTGCGCTGACCCAGGGCCCACCCCATGCTTCTCCCCATCCTGTATGACCCGGAGTGGAGTAGGTGCACAGCTGGACTGGGAGCCCATCTAGGGCTCATCTTGGGGGTCTGGGGGGCAGGCGCCCTTGCACTACTCACTCTCAGCCCTGGCACTCTGGGCTGCCTGGGGAGAATCTCATTGGAGAACGAGTCAGTTCCTCTCCATGTTGCATTAACTACTAAGGCAAAGACCAGCCGCAGCCGTGCCTGCCATTTGCACCGTCCTGATTGGGACTAATTATCTTCAGGTGTGTCCTTGGGCCAGCAGCCTGCCTGGCAGAACAGCAGGTGGGATGCCAGGCTCCCAGCTCCTGCCCACCTCGCTGCCGATGAAGGACCTGGCAGGCTTGGCCTTCTGTCTGGGAGAACAAAGGGGCCAGCCTGTGTCCTTGCCGGCCTGTGTCCCTGGGGACCATCTCTGCATCCACAGGCTGGAAAGGGGCGTGGGGTTGGGGGAGGATCCAAAAGCTTCCTTGGGTCAAGCAAGTTTGGGGCAACAGCTATGGTAGGTGACCTGGGGTCTGAGGTGTCCCTGGTCATTGCTCTCTCTTAGCCAAAAGACACCCACAAAGACAGGTGGAAGGCCTGCCGAGTCCCAGAGTCCCCCAGCTCTGCTTCTCTGCATGGCTCAGGTTCAGTGTTTGAGCCTCAGTTGTCCTGTCTATGAAATGGGGTGGCACTTTCTGCCCCACCCGCCTCCCTTGGCTGTTTCGAGGATAAAAGGGACAGTGGGAGGAAGGGGTTTGAGAGAGGGCAGTTGTGAGAGCAGATCTGCAGGGGTTTGAGATTCAGTGTTGGCACTTCCTGGCCTTGCTTAGAGCAGGCACCCTGACCATACCTGGGCAGGGCGCAGACATCAGGCCCTCTAATGTCCTACCGGGTGGCTGAGGCCCAGAGAGGGGAGGTGACCCACTCAAAGCCACATTCAGTGAGTGAGAGCTGGAACCGGGCTTGCCCAGGGCCTCGGAGATGGCTTGCTGCTGTGTATGGTCCGATGAACAAAAAACGTCCCAGTTCAAGTTCAAGGCATTTTTTAAGCTATGATTGAGCACATCAGCAGGGAAGCTGGCTGCCTGAGCCTGCAGCCCAGCCTGTCTGTATTCCAGCCAGGTGTCCTTGGGCAAGTTATTAGCCTCTGGGCCTCTACTCCGCTCTGTCAGCTGGGCCAGCACTCAAGCTCTGTGCCCAACTGCCTGGGAGGATGACAGTGTGGCACAGGCAGAGCTCTGGGCATGGTGGGCATGTGGCAGCCACCCACTGACCAGCGGCTCCTCCTGCATTCCAGGTTCTTGACTTCCTCAGGGTGAAAGAGAACTTGGCCCAGCGACAACTCCGTGGGGCGCTCTCAGAAAGGCCCTGACCCCACAGAACCCCACAGAAGAGGCTCTGTCTTGGAGACTCTGTGGGGACATCTGGCTGAGGCTCTCGCTCTTGCATGTTTGGGGTCCTAGGGTCCCTGGTTGGGAGCAGAGACATCTGTGTTTGAGGATGACACTGGAACCTGGCGCAAGGTGCAGCTTCCACCTGTGAACCCATGGACCCCAGACCTTACTGTGGTCTCAGGGGCCAGAGAGGCTGGGCTGGTTTGGGTCACATAGTGGGGGCCCACCCTTGGGCTGAGTGAGTTTGGAGCTTTCCTGTGGGGGCTTCCCACCCAGATGTGCTCTGCTCTTCCACCCAGCTTCCCTCTGGCTGGGTGCCTTGCAGCCCCGGCCGATAGGTCCATTTTTATGAGGCTTTTTGAGATTCATCTGGTGCAACTAAACACCTCCTTTCTCCAAGAGAAATCGTAATCAGCAAGGAAAACTAGAATGCAAGCAATGCCTGTGCATCCAGGCTGCCCTAAGGGGCTGTGAAGCATCACAGTGACTCCTAGAGCAGAGCGCGATTCCCAGGAGCGAGGCAGGGCTCGGCCTGGAAGTCCGGGGAGTCCCACGGGAGGTGCCGGGGCATCCGAGCTGCTTCGTGTGTCAGGCAGGGAGCGCAATGCCCACACAACCGTCCTGATGCCATGGTTGCGTTCTTAGCA